CCCCAAAACCCCAAAACCCCAAAACCCCAAGAATAGAAAATACAGAGCCAAAAAAGGAATTTTTATTATATTTGGGTTACTTAAGAAATTAATGCTGATTGTTACTCAAAGTCTAATTGAGAAAACTAGTCATTAAATAAGTGATCAATCCAATTATGAAACTTTATATACTTCAATTTCTTTCACTGTAAAGTTATGTGAGCCTGCTAAATACATTTTTGCTTCTTCAGAATTCGCTATCATTCCATCAGGGGGCTTGTACGTAGTACCAAAGTTAGAATAGCTACTTCCATTGTTATTGCATTCTGCATATATAAGAAGATCATATCCAAACCATATCATAAATGTATTAGCATAATACATTGCCTACTCCTTGTTTTGATATTGTTCATGTTTAGTCTTTTTAGTTAAACTAAAGATAAATGCTTTGCTATCTGCAGTCCAAGCACCATCAGGTTTCCATCCTATTGATGAGTACCCTCCAAATACTTGATCATGCTAAGATTTTAGAATTGCAACAATGGGTCCTTTGTGATTTATCATTTCATGCATCTTGTAACAGCTAAAAGTATCTCTGGTAGCTTTATATAAAAGCTCAAATTTAGTATTGGCCGCTTCATCTTCACCGTGAATCCATTCTTTCAAAAGTTGTTCATGCTCATCAGTTATGTTAAAAACTGACAAAGTATCTTCATTGAAATCATCTCCCGCAAATTTCTTTCCATTGTACTTCAATTCTAACTCTCTTCTTTCCTTTTTATCCATATGAGGAATTAATTAATCCTAAACCTCTCTTAGTATCCTTATAAATACTTCAGCTGGATAGCTTTTCTCTTTCTGCTTAAAATTTTCAACATCAGCGATTAAATCACTGATCATATTCTTTCTCTCTTTAAGTCTGTTCAGGGCTCTTTCACAGTATCCCTAAATATCACTGGCGACTATATGATCAAGCTTCTTAGCATGATCTGCATGAGACTTGTAGGCACATTAGTGGCAAACAATTTCTCTGTGATTATTACAATAGTATTCAGCGATTAAATCAATATGACTCTAGCATAAAATCCATAGCTTCTCAGTCTACTATTTTGCTATCTTTTGAACTTTATCTCTAAACTTTTATGGAATTCATGTTTCTTTATCAAGGCATACCAGTTTGCTATCTTGT